AAGTCTTGGGGGGGGGGGGGGGGGGGGGGGGAGAAGCGGACAATTAAAGAAAACCTTCTGCCTTTAGAATTTTTTTTATTTCAATAGAGTTTAGTGTCACTTTAAGTCTTTCTTTACTATCCTTAGTATTTGTTATGTTTCAAAGTAATATATCCAAAATAATTTTCTGTTTGGCTAAGCCCCGATTAAGAAGATTCTTATAGCGTGATATGTTGTATTTCCCCCCTATAGGAAAACAAAATGAACAGGCCCTCATGAAGTGCATCATATGTTATGACTAAATACAATAACAGAAGTTTCTGATTCCACAAATTACACTTGAAAGTATGATAATGAATTTATCTGCCCTGGCTACAGATTCAGCAGGGAATCATACCATCACTTGTGATCCACTGCAACTATTACAAGCAATTAATCTGAACTTTAATTACCTGAAAACACTCAGAGTAGTCCTGGTTAAATTGTGGAACTGCTGAATTGATGTTTTGTAGTTTGAATTAAAACTGACAAACACACACTGCCCCCTGGAGGCAACAATGCACAGCTACAGTTAATTGCTAACTTAATAAAGATAAACCTCGATAGTTGTACTAGTCTAGTAAGAAGCTACAAATAGTTTCTCAAAGCCATTGAGAAGCTAATAGCAAGTAAGTTTGACAGCTAACTTGAGGGGGGAAAAAAAGGGATCAGCAAGTATATAAAGAAAATATAAAAACATAGTAAACTCATGTATTTAAAATGAATGACTGCTGGTGGAATGTTACATTTACCAAATAATAAAGTGGTAAAATGACTTCAGTTGGGCTTAGAGTTAGGTGACCTGAGCTCCTTGATTACATCGGATTTGACAGCGAAATGCTTAGGCACAGATCACACTGTTTAGGGCTACTCTAGGAGGTGATAAGCACAGTCATTATCAGATTCACTAGGTTTTAAGGTGTCTGTGATAAAAGGCTGATCCTTACTTATTTTCAACGACAAAAGGTAAAGCAAGTGTTAACTACATGGTTGCCATTACTGGGCCCTAGTGCTACAGCAGGGCATCATGTTTCTGCCCATCCACGTCAGGATAAAGATTCTAGGGAGTATGAACACTACAACTCATCTAAACTGATGTTTACGAGTTGTCTAATCATTAGGACCTCCCAATAACATCTGTGTCACTTAAAGGATAAGTTCACCTTTTAGAAAAAAATAATAAATGCACATTTTTCTGCAGCTAAAAAAATGTGCATTTATTATTTTTGTCTGCAGGAGCCTGTAAACCACTGTACCAGCGATCACCAGTTCGCTGATGTCATGCAGGTCTCCTGCAGATCTGTCAGTATATCTTCTTGCTCGTATGGGATATACGGACAGGCAGATATATTGACAGGAAGAATGAATGAACTACCAGGGCGCTTCACAGCACCATGGTAGTTCATAGAGGACTAAAAGCTGACAGGCGGTCAGGCTGTCAGGACTTGTAGCCTCTCATTCAAAGATGACTGTGAATGAGTGACGCGGCCGTGTAGGCAGCCACATTTTTTTTTTTTAATTTGACACCTAGCGAGGGGGGAGAAGATACTCGCTAGCTGTCAAATTGGAGATTGGGGGTGTAACATGTTATGAAAAGTGACCTTATCCTTTAATCCTGCACTAGAAAAAAAAACAAAAAACGTGAAAATATGGAAGGAACGCCAGACCAAAAGATAAGAGTCCAAAATAATTTATTGATAATGTGTTAAAAAGACAGCCAGCGCATTGTGGGAGTCAAAGCAACTCCCCTTCATCAGGGTTTCAATTAAAAATGAGAACCTTGGGTGGATTCAAAGTAAAGGCTTTCCTGTTTGAATCTGTGCAGGGAAGCGGTATCCTTGATTAGGATTACCGATAGGAAATAAAAAAAAAAATACAATTATTTGTACTAAAATGTTACTTTGACTGCTGATGCAAATACTGCTGGCCAGGAATACTAATCCAGCAGTCAGCTTCCCTGCACAGATTCAAATAGGAAAGCCTTTACTTTGAGTGCACCCAAGGTTCTCATGTTTAACTGAAGCCTTGATGAAGGGAGAGTTCCTTTGACCCCTGAAACGTGTTGACTGTCTTTTGATACAATATAAATAAATTAATTTGGACTCTTACCTTTTGGTCTAGTGCTCCTTCCATATACAGTGCATTGAAAAAGTATTCTTACCCCTTGAAATTTTCCACATTTTGTCATGTTAGAAACAAAAACATAAATGTATTATATTGGGATTTTATGTGATAGACCAACACAAAGTGGCACGTAATTGTTAAGTGGAAGGAAAATGATAAATGGTTTTCAAAGTTTTTTACAAGTAAATATCTGAAAAGTGTAGCGTGCATTTGTATTCAGCCCTGAGTCAATACTTTGTAGAACCACCTTTCACTGCAATTACAGCTGCAAGTCTTTTTGGGGATGTCTCTACCAGCTTTGTACATCTAGACAGTGACATTTTTCCCCATTCTTTGCAAAATAGCTCAAGCTTTGTCAGACTGGATGCAGAGTATCTGTGAACAGCACTTTTCAAGTCTTGCCACAGATTCTCAGTAGGATTTAGGTCTGGACTTTGATTTGGCCATTCTAACACATGAATATGCTTTGATCTAAACCATTTCATTGTATATCTGGCTGTATGCTTAGGGTCGTTGTCCGGCTGGAAGGTGAACCTCTGCCCCAGTCTCAAGTCTTTTGCAAACTAACAGGATCTCGTCTAAGATTGCCCTGCATTTGGCTCCATCCATCTTCCCAGCAACTCTGACCAGCTTCCCTGTCCCTGCTGAAGAAAAGCATCTGCACAACATGATGCTGCCACCACGTTTCACAGTGGGGATGTTGTTTAGGACGATGTGCAGTGTTAGTTTTCCACCACATATAGCGTTTTGGTTTTAGGCCAAAAAGTTAAATTTTGGTCTCATCTGACCAGAGCACCTTCTTCCACATGTTTGCTGTGTCCCCCACATCGCTTCTCAAAAACTGCAAAGGGGACTTCTTATGGCTTTCTTTCAACAATTGGTTTCTTCTTGCCACTCTTCCATAAAGGCCAGATTTGTGGAGTGCATGATTAATAGTTGTCCTGTGGACAGATTCTCCCACCTGAGCTGTGGATCTCTGCAGCTCCTCCAGAGTTACTATGGGCCTCTTGGCTGCTTCTCTGATTAATATCTCCTTGCGCAGCCTGTCAGTTTAGGTGGACGGCCATGTCTTGGTAGGTTTTAAAAAAAAACCAAAAAAAAAAAAACCAAACAAAAACCACCGCTCCAGGTTAGTTCCCTCTTCCACTACCATACACGCACTAAATCCTAAGGTGCTGGCTCTGTAGGCAACAGACTCCAATATACGAATAAACATCCGATGGCTGCACATCCAGTAAAATAACCTTTATTTCTTCTAATAGCATATTTCAACAAATATGACAGGGATACAGGACCACTAATGCGTTTCACGCTCCACTAGCGTTTAGTCATAGCTAAGAATAGGAGTCCTGTATCCCTGTCCCTGTCATATTTGTGGAATATACTATAAGAAGAAATAAAGGTGATTTTACTGGATGTGCGGCCTTCGGATGTTTGTGTGTATATTGGTAGGTTTGCAGTTGTGCCATACTCTTTCCATTTTCGGATGATGGATTAAACAGTGATCTGTGAGATGTTTAAAGCTTGGGATATTTTTTATAACCTAACCCTGCTTTAAACTTCTCTACAACTTTATCCCTGACCTGTCTGGTGTGTTCCTTGACCATCATGATGCTGTTTATTCATTAATGTTCTCTAACAAACCTGTGAGAGCTTCACAGAACAGCTGTATTTATACTGAGATTAAAGTACACACAGGTGGACTGTATTTACTAATTAAGTGACTTCTGAAGGCAATTGGTTTCACTAGATTTTAGTTAGGGGTATCAGAGTAAAGGGGGCTGAATGCAAATGCACACCACACTTTTTCACATATTTGCAAAAACATTTGAAAACCATTTATCATTTTCCTTCCACTTCACAATTATGTGCCACTTTGTGTTGGTTTATCACATAGAATCCTAATAAAATATATTTAAATTTTTGGTTGTAACATGAAAAATGTGGAAAATTTCAAGGGGTATGAACAGGGGCGGACTGACAACTCATGGGGCCCCCGGGCAATAGGGAATCATGGGGCCCCTGTGTCCTTGCCCAAACTCAAAAAAGCCTATGAAAAAGGTACCAGGGGCATCTCATGGGGCCCCCTACTGACCCCGGGCCCTCGGGCAGTGCCCGAGTTTCCAAATGGTCAGTCCGCCCCTGGGTATGAATACTTTTTCAAGGCACTGTATGCATATTTTTTTTTCTAGTAACCTGCTGGAGTACCCACTGAACGGTATCCTAGTCTGTTAGGAGCAGCCTAACCTGAGCCAGTGGGCTCTTCAAACATTTGTTACCCTCTCGCTAACTTGTTTAAACTCATAACAAAGTCCCAGCACCTATGGGTGCCCTTTTTTTTTTTTTCATTGGAGACCTAATCTTGCACTGGTCTTTTTCACTTTTTCTATCCCATTGGAGGTATGTTTACAATCATAAATTGAAATTTCATTTGAGATAGAAGGTGTCTACAATTAGAGGGGTCTGAACATGGCTCCTATTTAAAATAGATTCAGCAACTGAATAAATTTACATATGTGGATAAAACAGGCGTCTGTGTGGTGTTCTGAGAACTCTACAGTTAAAGAGAAATGTGAAAGCGAGCACTTGAAGAACAATCATCCATGAGAAGGATAAAAGCAATATACAGAGTTTTACAGAGCAGTTTTAATGAGAGCTATGGAACCGGCTGTCTAGTGAAGAATTTACTGCTCTTCCACTAAGAAGAAAGTATCTACAGCACATTGACATGGCTTTACATTGGGTAAGTGATTCAAAACAAAGAGGTTCCAGATTTGTGATGACCTGTTACTTTCGAGGAAGTCCCTTTTCTTGTAATGAGTTCTATTCTTAAACCTGCTGAACTCGTACTTAGCTATAGAGCATGAACTCTCTCTGCGTGTATAGCTGCTGGTTCAGCCTATTGACCATTAGCTCTTTGTGAGGAGCAATTAAGCCCTAGAAGGCTAAAATCCATACTGTACATATTAACCTATTCTCCTCTTCCCATTTACTGCTGACTAGACATTGAGCTGCCATTGCTCCCTTCTTACCTTCTGAGGTGCTCGTGTTCTTTCAAAAACAACTCTGTTCTTCTGTTGTTCACCCCAGATCCAGTTTTGTAAGATCTATCATACAAAAAAAAAAAAAAAATCCACAAGAATATTTACCATTAATGATTTAAGGAGTGCCAACATTTGTACATTGCTAGTAAATAAAGTACTGTACTGTAAACATATACAGTATGAAAGAGATAAAAATGAAAAACCTGTAGATAACTTTTCATATATCTGAGTAGTTCAAATGGCGCACAAGATTTAAAAAACAAAAAAAACATAGGCAGGGGAATTCCTTCAGTGAAAACATTCAACAGATCTAAAAATACAGTCATCTTAAAGAGAAACTGCAGGAAAAGCTGATTTGTTACCAAAAAACACCACATTGAGCTTTACAGATAGTGAAAATCGTATATATAGTAATCTTTTTTTTCCATTAATCTTTACAATCAACATTTTAATAAAATGTCATTTTCCTTACATGTCCTTTTCCTGTATGCAGCCATTTTAACTTTGGGTAAATGAAGCCCTGGCTGCTCTCTTCCTGGTTTTCGACTTACCACTCCGCCCACAGGTTCAGCTCACTCTCGCATATGCGCAGTAAAGGCTTGTTTGATTGCACCTGCACATTAAGCACAGCACTTCCAGCCCTACTCGTGCACATTGCTATAGCAGCAGCGAACTTCTGCTGTGGGCTGAAGGAGCATGCACAGTAGGGCATCGTTTCAGCTGTGCAGTAAAAACACACATGGGTCTCCTTCCATCTCTGCCCTCATCTGGTCCTCCAGCTCTCCTCCACTCTCCTCCCCCCCTTTCCCCTGGCTGCAAACTCTCACAAAAGTGAATAAGGAAAAAAAAAAAAAAAAACCTAAGATTAGTGACGTTTGTACCCCAGGAATCATCGGGACTGCAGCAGCCCACGTCATTCGTCTAGGAGAATGACGGACACACAGTGGATATAAATAGTCTACACACCCCTGTTGTATGTCAGGTTTCTGTGATGTAAAAAAAATGAGACAAAGATAAATTATTTCAGAACTTTCTCTACCTTTAATGTGACCTATAAACTGTGCAACTCAATTGAAAATCAAAAAACTGAAGTCTTTTAGGGAGGGGGAAGTAAACACAAATAACTAAAATAATTTGGTTGCATAAGTGTGCACACCCTCTTATAACTGGGGATATAGCTGTGTTCAGGATTAAGCAATCACATTCAAAATCATGTTAAATAGGAGTCAGTACAAACCTCCCATCATTTAAAGTGCCTAAGATTAACTCCAAATAAAGTTCAGCTGTTCTTGTAGGTCTTTCCTGGCATTTTCTTAGTCGCATCCTACAGCAAAAGCCATGGTCCGCAGAGAGCTTCCAAAGCATCAGAAGGATCTTATTGTTAAAAGGTATCAGTCAGGAGAAGCGTACAAAAGAATTTCCAAGGTATTAGATATACCATGGAACACAGTGAAGACAGCCATCATCAAGTGGAGAAAATATGGCGCAACAGTGAAATTACCAAGAACTGGATGTCCCTCCACACTTGATGAAAACTGGTCTGGAAGGCTGCCAAGATGCCTACAGCAACATTAAAACAGCTGCATGAATATCAGGCAAGTACTGGCTGTGTAATACATGTGACAGCAATCTCCTGTATTCTTCATATGTCTGGGCTATGGGGTTGAGTGGCAAGATGGAAGTCTTTTCTTATGAAGAAAAACACCCAAGCCCGGCTAAATTTTGCAAAAACACATCTCTCACAAGTCTCCCAAAAGCATGTGGGAACAAGGGTGTGGAAATTGTTGTAAAAGCTACTTGTCCAGGGACTAAATCAGGGCTCCAATCTACTTGTCCAGATTAAAAAAATAAAAAAATGTTTTAACCAAAACTGTATTTAAATCGGAGGTGATTTTAGGAATGTCTGGGGCTTTTAAAAACAAAAGAAGCTTTAAGGCGACTTAAACGTGTAATATTTTTAACATTGCGCTGTTTATCTCCTCCTCCCCTCCCTGCCTCTCTCCAGCACCACACCCAGGGACTAGCAGGTAGGAGGGAGACCTTGCAGTGTAATGAGCACCGATTGGCTGCTCGTCAGGAAAGGGTGGTTCAGGGCTTATACTTTACTCCTTTCGCTGCCAGAGCCATTTTTTGCACACGTTTAAAAAATCATTTTAGACCTGAATATTACATAAAACCCCCAAACATTATATATTTTATGAAAGCAGAGACCCTAAAGAATAAAATAGTGGTAGTTTCAATTTATTTTGTCGCATGGTATTTACCGCAAAATTTCAGTAAAAAATAGTTACTTTTAGGGCACAAAAAAGTACTGAATTGCCTTTTTTTGGTAAAATATAAAAGACGAAGTTGCATCGAGTAAATAGATATCCAACTTGTCAAACCCTAAATTTGTGCGCGCTCGTGAAATGGCGACAAACTTCAGTACCCTATATTTTCAATAGGTCGACACTTTTAAAGCTCCTTGTAGGTCACCAGTTTAGCGTTACGGAGGTCTGCTGCTAGAATTATTACTCTCATTCTGGCGTGCGCAGCAATATGTGACATGTGTACCGCAATCGACGGTTTCATATGTAGGTGCCCCAGCGTGTGCTTTATGTTATGCATTTGTACAAGTGTATATGTGGGGGTGGGGGCCTCAATATTTTTTTTTTGGGGGGGGGGTGGTATATGCCTGGATGTAACTTTCATTTTTTACAAACTTTTTTTTTTCATCACATAGGAGACAAAGTCCCCTATGTGATGATTTTTGGTGACAGGTTCTCTTTGAGACATCCAAGGTCTAAAAGACCCTGGATGTCTCCCCTCTGCTCCACTGGGGAGTGCTCTTTCCCAGGGATTGCATTACAATCTCTCAATGGGGACCCGGAAGTGACATCAAACGTCACTTCCGGGTCAGCACAAGAAGGGGAGCGGACTTGTCCGCTCTTCTCCCTCCCCTCTAGCTGACGAGCCAGGCCTGCAGATCGGCAAGCGGAGCCCGGGAGACCTCACGCCGGGATGCGGAGAGGCTGGCACTACGTGGAAGCAATCGGCAGCAGCGCTGCCACCGATTGCTTCACCTGACAGGTAGAAAGAAACTACCTGCCTGGCGCCCAGAACTACATGTCCCGGACATCGGGCGAAGGGAATCCAACATCCCTGGGGAAAATGTGTTATGGTCTGATGAAACCAAGGTTGAACTTTTTGGCCATAATACCAAAAGATATATGTTTGCCGCAAAAACAACACTGCACATCGCCAAAAAAACACCATACCCACAGTGAAGCATGGTGGTGGCAGCATCATGCTTTGGGGCTGTTTTTCTTCATCTGGAACTGGGGCCTTAGTCAAGGTAGAGGGAATTATGAACAGTTCCAGTTGGCACAAAATCTTCAGACTTCTGCTAGAAAGCTGAACATGAAGAGGAACTTCATCTTTCAGCATGACCACAACCCGAATCATACATCCAAATCAACAAAGGAATGGCATCACCAGAAGAAGATTAAAGTTTTGGAATGGCCCAGCCAGAGCCCAGTCCTGAATCCAATCAAAAATCTGTGCTGTGATTTGAAGAGGGCTGTGAACAGGAGAAGCCCTCGCAATCTGACAGATTTGGAGTGTCTTTGCAAGGAATAGTGGGCAAATATTGCCAAGTCAAGATGTGCCATGCTGATAGACTCATACCAAAAAAGACTGCTTTAGAGTGTATAATAGAGTATATAATAGAAAGTGCTGTAATAAAATCAAAAGGTGCTTCAACAAAGTATTAGTTTAAGGGTATGCACACTTATGCAACAATATTATATTAGTTTTTTATTTTTATTTCCCTCCACCTAAAAGATTTCACTTTGTTGTTCAACTGAGTTGTATAGTTTATAGGTTACATTAAAGGTGGAAAAAGTTCTGAAATGATTTATCCTGGTCTCATTTTTTTGCATCACATAAACCTGACATTTTAAAGAGGTGTGTAGACTTTTTATATCCACTGTAAAAACTGGAAGTACAGGGAAAAAGGTATTTACTGTCACCAAAATGTTATCTTTTTTTGCAATGATTGTTATGAACGAGCAGACAGTTTATAACAGTGAAAGTGAAAAAATGACAGAAGGTCCGCTATAAGTTATATGCTAGTGTTTCACTGTATTTATAAAAGCTTACTTTGACCCCACCCTATCATAATTTACAGGAAATGTCAAGATTTGCCTCAAAACCAGGTTCTCAAAATCTCTTGAGGTACTCATTTTTACATGCAGATTATATACCGTATTTTTCGCTCCATAAGACGCACCTGACCATAAGACGCACCTAGGTTTTAGAGGTGAAAAACAAGAAAAAAAAATATTCTGAACCAATGGACTGCAGACACAGTACAGGGGATGACCAGAGACTGCGGACACAGTGCAGGAGATGACCAGAGACTGCAGACACAGTACAGGAGATGACCAGAGACTGCGGACATAGTACAGGAGATAACCAGAGACTGCGGACACAGTACAGGAGATGACCAGAGACTGCAGGCAAAGTACAGGGGATGACCAGAGACTGCGGACATAGTGCAGGAGATGACCAGAGACTGCGGACACAGTGCAGGGGATGACCAGAGACTGCGGACAGTGCAGGGAATGACCAGAGACTGCGGACAGTGCAGGGAATGACCAGAGACTGCGGACAGTACAGGGGATGACCAGAGACTGCGGACAGTGCAGGGGATGACCAGAGACTGCGGACAGTGCAGGGGATGACCAGAGACTGCGGACAGTGCAGGGAATGACCAGAGACTGCGGACACAGTACAGGGAATGACCAGAGACTGCGGACAGTGCAGGGAATGACCAGAGACTGCGGACACAGTACAGGGAATGACCAGAGACTGTGGACAGTGCAGGGAATGACCAGAGACTGCAGACAGTGAAGGGGATGACCAGAGACTGCAGACAGTGAAGGGGATGACCAGAGACTGCTGACCTTTGGGGAGGGAGGGGGAGCGGGTACCTGAATTTGACAGGTACCCGCTCCCACTTCCGCGGAGCTGCCTTCCCTCTTCTTCCCGGGCCGGCTTCTGTGACAGCCGGGTGCCCACTG